AACAACATGATGAGTAAAGTAAGTATTAGGGTAAGTTGCAGAAATTTTCATTCAAGCTTTAGGCATTGTAAATCTAGATTCCCAATGATATAATTTGAACTATAAAGGACTGATTTCCTTCAAGATTCATGATTGATGAACCATTTTGAAAGTAAATTTTTGGCTTACAATTAGTGAATTTACAGCAAAAAGCAATGGGAGATAGAATACGACACAAAAAGTTCATAAAATAGCAAACACCATGAGTTACCTTCATCCAGACATTAGATTTATCAACATAGAAAAACAGGTACTCTTTTAAATGTTGTGACCTAATAAAGACGCTACAAAGAGATTCATTGCAACGCTCTGCCGGACACTCAACTTTATTTGCCTAGTCTGACACCTCACCTGTAATAACATGTGCGGCTCGAATACTGGCATTCGATCGGGAACGAACTCCAGTGCATTTGCACATGAGCCGAACTCCTTAGCCGCTAGACCAAAGTGCACCAACAACGACAGCTTCTCGTTTTCTTCCAAGTGGTTGTGATCAAATTCATATGCCTCTATAATAGGGTTGAAATTGGCTTACTAAAATCAAGACTTTTTTTGCATGTTTTAAAATGGATCATTTACTTTTGCTTTTAGTTGATTCATTCTACATTGCAATTCTCAGCCGTCTGAAGTATTACAAATCTAAAAAAAGGTATAAAATGTTGAAATAGAGGTGAAAACCGAATAATCAATTAAAAGTCGACTATGAATGAAAACGTAGACCTGTACGGGAGCCAGCGTCAAATATTGTGAGATAAACTGGATTTAAAACAATACTTACTCATTCCTTGCTTCTTGTAAATAATGTCACATATGCACAGAAATGTCATGGAACTGGACAATTCTTTGTTTTATTCATCTTTTGACCTTTCTTTCTCTCTCATTCGTGTAACGATCTTTTTAGTGCTCCAAAAATCGAATTTTCTTTCATTTCTCTAACTTATTCTCTCTTTTCGTCTTTACAGTGTTCCTCTTTCATCCTATCCTTTTCTCTCTCTCTCTCTTTCTCTCTTTCTCTTTCTGTAGTGTCAGATTTCCTTTCTAGTAGATGCAATAAACTTCAACGGTTAAAACAAAGGTTTTGTCATTAAAAACAACCACGTTTTTAACCAAATTAATCCTGTAAAATCTTCAGTAATGTGCACTAGTGAAAGTGCTTGCAGTTATGCCATAAACTGAAATTCATGAAGATATTTTGCATTCCCAACCTTCGCAAATTATAGCAGTACTGCTAAATAATCATTTAACGATTGAACGCTCGCCATAATTTTTCTAAATTGTACCTTCGTCTTCTAATCACTTCTAAAGGGCTTCCGAACAAATCTCGACTAAAATAGCAATTAACATTGTCAACTCGTAAACAGTTTCGAAGAATTTTTGTATTACGCTGTAGTAGAGCTTCATAGTTGATTTTTCTCCCACAATTAAGCATTTTAACAAACTACATCTGATATTGGTATGTCTGATCTCATCAGCTACAATCGTAATTTTATTTCCTCCTAGAGATTTTCTTTAACTTTAAGAGAATGACTTTCATGTACTTACTCGCGCTTAATCATCCAGAAAAGCTGCATTTATTCCTATGGTGAATGAAAAATATTGCCTAAAATTGTGATTGAACACGCATTACAAATGTGCAGTAAAGTATGTTAATAGTATGTTAATAGCTTTTATCCAAGTTGTATCCACAGAAGATCCATAGACTGTTTATAAATATTCTGGCAAAGTATAGGTGAAATGTTTAATGCTTGTTTTGATGATTCATTTTTGAGGCCTGAAACAGATCTAAAATACTACACTATATCGCCAAAGATCTAGGCCCATAGTAAAATCCCCTCAGCAGAAATCGCCTGAAGACAGCGTCAGGTGAACTCACACCAAAGCATGCAAGGTACAGAGGAACAACTGATTGCAAAGATCCATGGCATGCGCAATTAAGTTCAGTTAGACTTTTACATCCTAGTCGTGTCAAGCATTGGTAGTTCAGTGGTTGGGGTGGCGGCCACTGAGCAACTGAACATGGTTCCAATCGCTCAATAATAAACTCTTTTGCCAATGTATAGGAGTTACATGAAGGATCATAGGTGCACCATAAAGTTGTAGACAGAATGGTTTCGAACCAAATCATTGATTAGGGGCGAATCTTGGGATCACTAGCAAAAGTGTGCACTTTTTGGTCGATGATGCTCCACATTTGACGCAAAAGTACATATCGTCAGGGGAGCTCGTAAATTGGTTCCGAGCAACTTACTAGTTCCCCTGACGGACTCTCGTAAAGCACACACTATTTCCTTTGTATGACCCGTCAGAAGAATTCTCTCCTTTGGGGCTCTTCATCTCATCGCAGAACCTTGCATGACGATGATCGCTTCGTGGACTTTGTATCCTTATACTATGGCGGTGGGATCGTGATCATGTGAACACAGTGGAGTTGGACTAGCCTCGTCAGGTCAAATCATCTCACCTAACGGGAACTTTACTACGGGCCCTACTCTTACACCGCACCGTTCAAACGTTTAGCCACAGCGCAGTGAAAACAAACAAGCGACCTTCCCAATTTTTATCCTCCATTGCGTTAGTACTGTCGTAATGGATGTCATTGGGTAACACTTAGCGAATCTACCCTGCTTATAGTGCGGTTAGCTCTAAAGCAATGCGAAGGCAGAAAGTCGTCGCTATGGATAGGCATTCTATTTGATAGGTATTCCTACTAATTATGCCAGAAAATCCAAGCAGTTTCCAAATTCCTTGTTGAGCAGTCTTGCTTACCCTACACTATCAATCTCGTTCAACCTTCACCTTATCTGATATCTTTCTTGCATGCTGGTAGACAGTACTGCCAGAAAGATGTGACGCTGCAATCTTCCAATCCAGCGATGTAGACATCACTACGTAATCGACTAATATGTCCTCGTTAAGGCGCCGATATTTTTGCTTTTAATATACCAGCGTACTCTCTACAGCCGCCATTGTTCTGTCGACAGTTGCTATTTTGGAAATTTTTGATGAATACGTGTAGATTTTTGATTAAGAGAATAAAATGCTAAATCAGCGTCTGGTATTTTTACACAAGTTGAGGAAATGGTAGTATCATTGACATAGTAGTCAATATGCTTGACACATCAAGAATAATTTCTTCCTTT